CAAAGCTGAATAGCTGGAGCCCAAAAACCAGCTGGCTTCCTAAAAACCATGCTCCAAAATTTCTGGTGAACACCTTCAACCTCCCACAACCTGCTCCACCGATCCAGCAGTCAGACACAAGGAAACACTCCTTTTGATCCTACTCCAAATGAGTCCCTTATTCCTTATTAATAAAAGACAATTCAAATAATAATTAAAAGCTTGCTAGAGGGAACTTTCAGCCACTGCTCAGGATCAAAATATCAATCTATGAAAGAGATGCCCTGCAGCAGGGCTAGACTACCCACAGCTGCACCACATCCCATTTCTCCCTTCCTCTGCCACATCCTCACCTACTGCAGGAGTTTTGCTGCAGCTAATGACAAGGTAACTTCATTTCTTGAAAAGCCTCGTTTACCCAGGAACATGCCCCCCCCATCTTCCCAAATGCAGGCAATTGCTGGAAGCCCCCACAGCTTCCAGATATCCTCAGTAACCTCAGCCAGGTTCCTAGCAAAGACCTCCATCTGTTCAGATACTCCATGCCACCACTGGTCCCTCTCTCTGTCCACTCCCAGGGCAGGCCAGGGCAGCGTGGCAGGTCAGGGTGTCACACAGCATGAGCTAGAGCCACTCCCAAAGCCACCTTCACCATGAGTTTGTACAATGTCTTCCTCAGACTCATCTCCAGATCCCCGTTGCCTCAGGGAATGCTGTCCTTCTTGGCACCACACTTCGTACCCGAAGCACAGGCTCTGGGACACCGGGGACCAGAGGGGATGGTGGCAGTCAGGAGGGCAAGGCCAGCATGCACACAAACCATCTGCAGTCACCCACCAGCCAGAGATCCACCACGGGGATTAAGAGCAGGGACAAGCCACAACTCGCTGAATTCCTGCAGGCCAATGGGAGCTGTCAGTGCATGCCCTGGTGCCAGCTGCCTCCTCAGCTCTCATTTCCCATCTCCAGGCTAAGTCGTGTTATCCCAGCACTGGCCAGTGGCCATTAAACCTAGTCCCAAAAGGGTGATTTCTCACCTGGTCTTACACCCACATTTTCAGTGATTAATGAGCACAAAGCAGACAGGCAGATCCCAAGTCAGCCCAGGAGAGCAGAAAGCAGCAGTGAAACTGAGCAAAAAGTGATTCATGCAAGGATCTGGACTTAAATGCAGGTGGGGAACAAACAGGATGGAGGGGGTGTAGGAGGAGGTTGGTTGGGCTAATTAAGACCAGTTAGTGCAGGCAGGACCCTGATCCCTTTCGCAGGGGGAGGATGTGGGAATGATGCTTGGGAAAGTCAGGATAAACCAGCACTTCCTCCATCCTTGGCACAGCACCATTTTCTCAGTACTAGCAGAGCTGGTCTGAAGGGGTTTTGCCAGGGTTGTTCAGATCCTGTCCCAGCCTCAGAGCACCTGTTTTCAGGTGCTCTGAGACCTCGGTTTCTGTTGGGTCTGTCTATGTTCCAGGGACGGATCAGAGCAAGAGTTTAATTTGTGACTGAACCTGGGGCAGGAACAGCTCCCTGCCACAAAGCACTCTGCAATCCCATTGCTGAAATGTCACTTTATTTCCCTGCTTTAGACAAAAAACAAAACCCAAAACCAAACAACCCCCCACACCTCCTCTGCAAGAATTAATCTGCCAGAGGATGTGCTAATCTGGATCTCTGGAACAAATTCAACTGGTCTTTCTCAAGTGTGATGTGCAAGCTCTGAGGTGTTTGCGCTTTCGTATCCGGCCACAGAGAATCACAGAACCATTTCCAACCAAAGGTTGGAAAATACCTTTAAGATTATTGAGTCCAACCGTTAACCCAGCACTGCCAAGGCCATCACTAAACCCAGTTTTTAAGCCCCAAAGCTGCTGCTGAGGCTCCTGAGCTCAGGGCTGGTTTACTAAGCTGTAACATGCTGGTAAGGACAGGGAGAGAGCAGGGGACTTGCAGGCACTGCCACCGTGCCCCAGGCACAGCCTGTCCCCTGAGGGCTGCACCAACTGCTGACAAGTGACATCCAGCAGAGACAAGCCCGTAGCACTGGGCCAGGCAGCCCATATTGGGCTGATGCTTTAATCAGAGCTAAATCTGGATTCTCTGCTGTCACCTCACTGGATGACCTTGGAAAAGTCAACTGGGATATAATATAAGCTACATGGAAGAGGATGGCAAAGCAAGCCATGGTCTCAGGATGAAAAGGTACTTAAAAAGTCACCTATAAAGGAATTTACCAAGACAAGTGCTTGGCTTTCCTACCCTCAACAGACACTGAGCGACCCCAAAAAGCAGTTTATCACCCCACTCAGTTTACAGTAAACATCTTGCTTCTGTGCATGCAGCTTATTTTACACATTCATAAAATATGTGTCCAGTGCATGCCGAGGCTGAGCTTGCTGGCAGAAAGGTGCAAGAAACCTTCTTCTCCATTCCCATTCCTGCTCTCAAGCTGCAGGCATTGTCCAGTCTCTGAACACCCCTCCAAGCCCCATTGCTTTGGGCAGTAGCTCTGTGTCCCCCCAGCCACACTCCTGACTTTCCTCCTGCACCCTGTGGCTGGATCTCCCTCCTCAGTGACTCCAGAGAAGAAGTGGGCTGCTCATCTCCCTGCAGAGGTGCCCAGCTACAAGCTCTTACCAAAGACATAACTATCATTACTTGCATAAGATAAACCTGAGTTTGTGAAATATAAACCTCTTGCTTTGAGGTGAGCTACATAAATGCCTCAGGCTGTTGTGTCTCTTGGCATAAAGGAGTAGCTGTTCTTGCAGGGAGCAGCCAGGAGCCCTCATGCCAGCAGCTGTTTGTCCCTCATCAGAGCTGACAGAAACTGAGGCACAGAAGAAGAAGGGAGAGTCACTGTGTGACCACTCCTGGTCTGCTGCCATAAACAACAGCTACCAGGGCAGCTCCACAACAGCTAGGGAAATCCAAGGTTTGGATGCTGATGTCTTGGGGATCACTGGAAGAAGAAACAACATTCAGACACAAACAGGAGAGGATTAGCTTATCAGGGCAGACAGTGACTGCCAGAGAGCAGCTGGAGAGAAAGAATGGAACAGGCAGTTGTTCCCTGTGTCCTATCCAGGGCACTCGTGTCCTCAGGTGCTCCACAGGCTGGTAGAGAGAAGCACCTTTGCACTCTTCACCTGCTCCCAACAAAAGCGCACTGTTTGCAATAGGCACCCAGGTGTGGCTATTGCTGTGAACTCCAATCCTATTCCCAACCCTACTAAGATGGGATGATCTCAAGTGTGTGAAAATCTGCCCATGTTTCGCAGGTGTCCCAGTGCTGTCACGTTCGCTGCTCAACAGCAGGAGCAGTTTGCCTGAGAGCATCAAGCCCACAGGAGCAGGACAGCACACACCAGCCCTCCGCTTTCACACCGTCCATCCTATCTCGATACCTTGGAAGGGTTAATCCGGGGCTTGCTGCGCTGCTGTTGCTCGGTGTGGCACAGCCGGTGTGGCACAGCCGGCTAAGCCAGAGCTGGAAAAATCTTGTTCCTTTACCTTTGTAAAGGAGGCAGCGAGGAGGCAGTGAGGAGGTCGTGTGGCACCTGCAGCACATGCCCACGGTCCTTGCAGCAACTGTGCAGGTCGGACTGCCCAGGGGAAAAGGTGTCCTGCAGCCTGGGGCAGAAGGTGGACGAAAGCCACGGGTCTGCAGCCCCACTGGAGAGTCCTTCCTGTATGCAGGCACCCAGGGAGATGTGAGGGGAGCCAGGAATCTGCTGGACAAACTCAAAAGTTGGATAGGGCAGCTGGGAACAGAGAAGAGCTGTGCTTCTGCCTTTTTTTGCAGGTTTGCTGTTGCCGGGGAGAGGTTTCAGGCTGTCATCCAGCTAATTCACACCACAGAGACAAGCACTTGAATTAGTTGCATTATCTGCGCCCAGCTAAACTGGACAAAGGATTAAAGTGTGCTGAGCACCACCACCGTGATTTGCATCTCAGAGCCCCTTCCCACGGGCCCCCTCTGCTCCCAGCCTTTTTTTTTTTTTTTTTTTTTTTCTGGCTGTGAGCCAGCCAGCATAAGAGCCCTGTTTACAGAAATCATGCCTAGGTTAATATTGCAAAAGACTTCATCAAAGCCTGCAGTCGCTACTGAAGCAGAAGGGTCTGACCGTGGGCCATGAGCTGGCCGGGCTGCGCACGCAGGGGATGAGCCGCAGCCACGCGGCACCGCCCTTCGTTTGACAAATTCTGGTCTCAGCCTGAGGTACGAAACTAACTTTCTGCCACCATGGCATATTTGAAATAGTGAGCAAAATCAAACTATTATTCATTTCTAAAGCTGCACGCAAAACCTCAATGCAGCAGTTGTTTTAGGGGAAAAAACGTTGAGTGCTAAGTGAATATTGCGCTGTGCAGCGACCTTGTGGGCACTTTTTCTGAGCTCATCCAGCTGCCAGAGATTACTATTTTATGCATGTTTATTCATGTGGAGAGGATGCAGAATGCTATTGCTATACCTTTCTGTCAGTCTCAGAGAAATCCAAACTGGGATGTCTCAGAAGCAGCTCTAGATCTAGAGAGGTAAAGCAAAAGCCTATCTGCCATCACTGAATTCTAATTAATTAATGGCTTTTGAAATGTTTTTTCACCACCAGTACTTTGTACATAGGTGCAGTTTTCCTGAAGGGTTCACACTGAGCTCTGCTGTGACACACAACATTTATAGGTTTCTATTTTACTTGGCATTTGCAGTTTTTCCTCCTCAGCACAGGGACTGAGTGACCTTAGCAATTGCCAGCACAAGGGGACTCCAGATGATGAAAGCAGGTGAAAGGGAAAATAAGGGCGGAACTAGGTAAAGCCAATTCATACCTCAGAGGAGGTGTGGTCCTGTCCTCTACCTGCCTGTGGTTACAGTCTTGTGAAATATAAAAGGAGAAGGCAGTGGTTTCTTAAACAATCTGGTGCCAGGATCCTGTAGTGAGAAGGAAGGGAGGTGCTGGAAGAAATGCAGAGCAAGAAGTCAAGAGTGTCAGCTGGGAAAGGTGTGGGACTCACCGGTGCTCTGAGCCTCAGGAACACCATCAGCTCTTCCCTGAAGGCCTGTTCACTGGGCTGAGGGTTGCATGGTAGCTGCACTCCCTTCCCCAGCAGACTGGCTTAGAGGAGAACGGAGCTATCATGTCCCAAGGAGAAGCAGCAGGACGCAGCCCTGCCAAGCACCAGGACCAGGGATGGGCATGGATGGTCCTGCTGGCTGCAGTGGTGCTGCAGGGGCTGACGCTGGGCTTCCCCTGCTGCATTGGTGTCTTCTTCACGGACCTCCAGCACGAGTTCCAGGCCAGCAACAGCGAGACATCATGGTTCCCGTCCATCATGGTGGCCGTGCTGCACGGAGGGGGTGAGTGATGGCAGGGAATGGCCTCCTCCACCTCCTGCCCTCGTGCTGCTGGTGGGGGGATGTAATGAGGATAATTTCAGCCTTTCATTGAGGCGGGTGGTGGAAGGGACTGGCTGTTTGGCAGTACACAGCATTTCTAAGCCACTTGGATCCCACAGTCCAAAGCTAAATGTCCACGGATTCCATGCTCCCTTTTGTCACTCTCAGAGTCAGCCAAGACCCTTGGTCAAAGAAGGCAAATCCCTTTCTCAGCTCAGTTTTTCCAGATCAGCAAGAACATAGTTATTTCTCACAGAAGCTCTTTGAATAAGCCAGCACATAGTGCTGGAGTTCTGGTGCTTTCTTGGTTCATCTTGTCCACGAGAGCACATCTCCTTCCAAGTGCCACATGACTGCTCTGTTCTTTGTGGCTGAAGAGATGCCAAAAGCTGATTTCCTTGGTGCTGCCAGCTGAGGCAAAGCCTTAAAAGCAGCTCCTTGGGCAGTGGCACGGAGTGCACACCTACACAGGCATCAGGGTGGATGTGAGCAGGGCTGGATCAGTGCAGAATGTGGGTCAGACAGCACCCTGTGGCTGCAGGGCTGGAAGGAGCATTGTGCTCTGTGGATGGTGGAGTGAATCACTGGTTTTCCCCTCAAAGATATATGGGAACAGCACAGGGCAGTGGTCCCACATTCCACACACAGATGTGTGGATTCTCTTTCTGCAGAGAGAAAACCAAATCCCCAGCAGCTCAAGGACTTCCCAATGAGTGGTCTGTGCTTTGTGACCCATACAAATCCTGTGCTTATTTGATAAACCGACAACCCAAACCCTACCAGGCAACAGAAGGGAAGTTCCCAGTGTTGTCCATGTATCTAAGCTTCTCCCTGAGTTCACTCCTGCTCCCTTCCAATGCTGGTGAAAGTTGATACTACATTATAAAGCAAAAAAACAACCCCCGAGCCCTGAGTCACGCTGATGTGAAGGCTATGGCAGGTTCAGTCTGTACCTTGCAGGATACGGCTGGCAGCATGGAACTGAGAGTTTGCACTTCAGCAGAAACAGCTGGGTCCAAGACGCAGATGGAAAGAGATGTCGAGGGAAGGGACAAGGGGAGGAATCTCCACTGAGAGTCAGCAGAAATAAAGCAGCATCCTCAGGGCTTGGAAGCTGTTGGGCATTCCCCATCCCGCTTTCCAGCCCCTGTGCTCCTTCTGTGATTAGTGGGAACAATCCAGCTGGGACCTGCTGGCTCTGGGAAATGGTCTCAGAAGCAGCTTGGTCCCAGCATGTCCAGGAAGGACAACTCTGACAGTATCCACAAGAATGTCAATTATCCTGTCATTTTTAATGAAGTAATTGTTGTGTAGGAGGCTAGTACCACTGTAAAAGGTAATGCAAAGACAGCCAATACATAGATCCAAAAGTTATAAATTAGATAAGGAAAGAATAGCCTTGCATTGATATCCACAATAGAATTTGTCAGGGCACAGCCAGAGAGTTGTATTTTGCTTGCCAGTTATGTCTCCTATTGCAGGGTGTCAGAGCACAGGAGGGCTTACTCTTTCCCCGAGTATCAGGAGGCAGCAGTAACATAAACCAGAAGGAAAAAAAAAAATAAACACAGATCAAAGCTTCCCTCAGGCCAAGCACATATGGCTTTTGCTGCAACTTCTGACCTCCTTTGCAGGGGGCCAGGCTTTACTTGATTCAGGTTCTCCTGTTACATTTCAGAACTTAAATCTTTCCCAAAATTGTATGCTGCTGTCACAAGTATCTCTTAAAGGTGCCACTCTCTTTCCTTCACCTTTATTCTTTTTAATTCAGAGGAACTGAAGGAGAAAAAAATTATTTGTTGCAAAAATTGGAAGAGGAAGGGAAACAGGCAGAGCAGCCTGTTCTCAGAGCAGCCAGTACTGGGAAAAGGTTCCATGCAGGAGAGCTATGGAAGGAAATGGGGAAGGGCACAGGGCAAACAATAGCTCATAACTCAGCCAAACATACCCCATTATCAGTGCTATGTTCCTAGGTAAAAGCCATTAATGATTATTTTGTTATAATTTGAGAGACCTAGGGTGCTACATCTGTGTCCAAAAGGGGATTTCAGGCCTTTACAGGCTCCTGCTCCTAGATATCCATGCACACGGAACACTCAGCACTAACTCGTACAAATGCAGCACTTTTGTTGATATTATTCTTGCAAAAGAAAGCACAAGAGCCCCAGGCAAGTGAGAAATAACATTTGAAACCCAGACAGCAACTAACCAGGAACTAATCATGACAAACCCTTATGGTTTTTAGAGCAAATTGCATTCTTTTATAGTGTTCAATTTAAGCCTTCTTGGGCTAGTTAAACAGCAGTACCACTAAGGTCTTTAGCAGGAGGAAAAATAATCCAGTCACATTTGCTGGACACTTTTTCAAAGGCCAGCAAAGTCTGAGGTGAAAATCTCCCAAGCAGATCAAAATACAGACAGCTGCACTCCTAATTTTAATAATGTTCCACTGTTCACTTGACTGTGTGGATTTTATTTCAAACCAGATGTTGATTTAGGTCACAGATATGCCACAGGTTATATTCCCTACACTGACTGACTCCTAATTCTGCAGCTTACAGTCATTTTGTATTTGCTTCCATAACCTTAAGTGTTCAGAATTGGGAAAAGAGTTAATAAAACCTGGAAAACCTTGAGGATCCTCAAGGGAACAGGAAAAGAAACTCTACTTTCAGATCTTCTCCCAGAGCATGCAGAGAGAAGCACCTTCCCACTGCTGGGCTGCAGGTGTGAACTAATCTTTCCCTGCCCCAAAATGAAGGATGTTAAATGTCATTAACAAACAAGTAATTTATCATAATCTCATGGAATTCACCAGAAGTCCATTTCCAAGGGTTTTAATGCAAACCCATCCCATCCTACTTGATGGTCAAAATCCCAGCAGATCACAGACTTCATCTCAGCCAACAAGCTGGCCAAGCACTTGGGAGGATCACAGAATATATTTTCTCTTCCTGTCTCCCCCACTACATTAAGCTGCCAGGAAAACCTTCAGGGTCTCTAGACTACATCATTTGATAACTGCAGCAATGCAGCAGGTACAAAATACTTCCTTCCTCCCTAACTGCTTCCCTTTTCCTTCTCTACTTCCAGGGCCCCTCTGCAGCATCCTGGTGAAGCGGTTTGGCTGCAGGTTTGTGGTGATGCTGGGTGGGCTGCTCAGCGGGCTGGGAATGGTGTCCAGCTCCTTCTGCAAGTCCATCAGCCAGCTGTACCTCACAGCTGGCCTCATCACTGGTACGTACTGGAGAGCAGGGAAACTCAGCTGCTGTGCTGGAGATGGGAAATGGGAGAGCCCTGACTAAGTGGTCACATTTTTCCACTCATCTGTGAAATAGGAGAACTCAACAGCTTCCCAGCACAGCAGAAATCCTACAGCCACTAGACTTGGCCCTCACACCCCTTTAGCACACACCTCACCCACTCAGGCTTGCTGGGAAGTGCTTCTCTCTGGAAAAAGCTACAGGTCTCCAGAGGATAAAATGGAGAAAAAGGGTGTCTGTTCTTTTTAGTAGCTCCTCAGCCTTTTGTCTTTCAAGAAGGGAGGGTTTTTGTTGTTTTTCCAATCTTGGAACATAATGTGTTGGGATAATGTCATTCTCAGGTTCCCTGAGCTTGTATTTCACCACTCCCAAACTGGGGGAGAATAGAGACATCTTTTTCTAACAAAAGACCCTGTTGGTTTTGAACAGAAGTAACAGATGGGAATTTTTCCTTTCCAAATATTTCTCCTATGTAACTGACAGTCAACTCTTGGTTTTTAATAACACAGAGAAATTAATTCCTTACTCTGAAACCATTCCTGCTGGATCTTGCAAGTTAAGCAATGGTCACTGCATAGAGAGAAAAACAAGCAACTCCTTGAGCCCTGATAAAAGCATCAGGAAAGCAGCACTGCTCATTGCATGTGGTATAAAATCCAAGCTTTTAATGAGCAATTCCATAGCTGCTTTAGGAATTGCAGTGTGCCCCAGAAAAACGTCAGTTTAGACCAGTATATTTACTATACCCAAGAACACAAATTGTTTAATTTACACATGACATCCTTTTCATCCCTGGTGTGGGGTTTCTGAGTATTAATCAATCCCTGGGGGCTGTGTGGCCTGGCAGGTCAGAAAATGCTTCAACAGTAGATTAAATAACCTGTGGGTACACCCTGAATTTGGGCTCTTTTCACCCTTTAAGACAACAAAGAAGGATCATTTATTCTCATCTTTAGGTCTGGGATCATGTTTCAGCTTCCAGGCAGGAGTGACTGTGCTGGGCTACTACTTTGTGCGGTGGCGAACGCTGGCCAATGCCGTGGCCTCCACCGGCGTCTCCCTCGGTTTCACGCTGTGGCCGCTGCTGTCTCAATACCTGCTGGATGAGATGGGCTGGAGAAACACCTTCCTCATCTTTGGAGGAATACTACTGAACGGCTGTGTTTGTGGAGCCATCATGAGACCCATTCAGCTGGCATCAGGGTCACTTCCACAGTCTGCCAAGCCCGAAGAGGAGGCAGGCAGCAGAGCAGAAGAGGCACAGCTGTCCAATGGAGCATCTCCTCACCACCCCACACTCCAGCAGCACACCCAAAGGACAAAATGCTTCCAGATGCTGCAGAAGTACCTGGCTTTTGACATCTTCTGTCAAAACAAAGGTTACCAGATTTACACTATTGGAGTAACCTGGATGATGATGGGGTTTGCCTTACCCCATGTCTACCTGGTGCCTTATGCCATCCACAACGGGGTGGAGGAACGCAAGGCAGCCCTCCTCATCTCCATTATCGGGTTCATCAACATCTTCATCCGCCCTCTCACAGGGCTGCTCTCAGGACACAGAGTCTTCACAGGAAGACGCATCTACCTGTTCAGCCTGGCCGTGCTCCTCTGCGGGCTCAGCAATTTCATCTGTGTCGTTTCAGCTGAGTTCAGTGTGCTCATCCTCTACTGCGTCATCCTCAGCATAGCCATGAGTGGCGTCGGGGCGCTCACCTTCCAGGTGCTGATGGATGTGGTAGAGATGGACAGGTTCTCCAGTGCTCTAGGGCTCTTCACCATCCTAGAGAGCATCACCCTCCTCATCGGGCCCCCGCTCACAGGTGAGAGAGGCCATGAAACCTGGCTAGGGGAAAGGTGGTGGTTTGGAAACTGGTGACAAGTGCTTGGGAGCATCAAGAAGAGGAATTAGGGAGTTTCCAGACCCATGGTGTAGGTGAGTTATGCAAAGGGAGCAGTATAAAAGGTAGGGTTGGAAAAGAATCGTCAGCCTCTTCTGACAGCTGGAAAGTAATTTCTACAGCTGCATTAAAATCACATTGAAAAAAATACTCACTTGGTATGTGATCTGGTACATATGGGAGCTATGACAGCTTTTTTCCAGTGGCAAGAAGCCAACAGGAATAACTATGAACTTTTTCATCTTTTTACCAGTTTGCATTGTTTTATCCAAGAAGTCTCAAGAAATTGTGAACATCCCATTAAATTAATTATTTGTGTTCACAATTATTACTGGTCCTACATTATTCAAAAGCCTCATAGTAAAAGCTTCTGTTCAGTCTTCTTTCCACGTTCTGGAGCATATTAATTTTTCTCTGGAGACAAGAAAGGAGCTAGTTATGACTCTCCGTCCAATAAATTATTCACAGTTCACTCTAAATGCCACTAAGTGACCTGTCCAAGACACACCTGCTCCTGCAGTAAATTCAAAAGACCAACAAATGTCAACCAGAGCATGTCAGCCTCAGTTCAGGCTTTAGTTCTCTTCTCCAGACAATGAATTGTGGCTACTCAGCAGGAAAATTATGTCTGGTTCAATAATGTGGTGGTAACATGCAGTGTATTTCATGGTACTCCCTGGCATTAGCGTGTTAGTCACTTTTCTCAAAGAGCAAAAAAGGTCCCTTCTTGGTGATCTCTGACAGGAGCAGCAATTGGTCAAAAAAAAAAAAAAAAAGCACAGAAAAGCATCTCCATTTCTGTTTGTAGTCCTAAAATCTGCTACAGAAAAGTACACCATGGAAAGAAACATCACCAATCTTGACTGAAAAATACAAGCAAATAAACATTATTCTAGTATTTCCACATTGATAAGCAGCCCATGGAAGACATCATATATTTGGCCTAAGTATCACTTTTCCATCTCTAATATTAGTGTTAAATTACTCCCTTGATAGCTCACATTTCTAAATGGTTTATATTGAGGTCACTTAATGTTAGTCATAATCTTGCTGTGCTGTGAATTTCCTTATCCTTCATTAAACAGGATTAGAGACAAATATTCAGTTTGGAGACCTTACTATGTAAATTTCTGAGCTATTTCTCTATCTAGTTCTATTTTCTGCCCTAGGATGTAACAGGGTCACTCATTCCAAAAGCCACTAAGTGGCAGTAGCACAAGGGTCCTCTGCTGAGCAAATGAAATAAAGCAGCAGGTTGGGGAAAAAATACAATTTCCTTTCTTTCCTGATTTCTGTGTGTATTGAGAAATACTTTCTACAGAAGTATCAGCTGACTTGTGACTACAAATAAAAAACTAAACAACCATTAGAATCCAGAGAAGAGGAGAGAACTTAACTCATCAGAGAATGCTTGTCTTTTGCATATGGCAGTTTGCTGAATGATTCAGGTTTAATTTTCATGTAAATGAATGACTTCAGTGTGCCTCTTCTCTTTGGCTAAGCTATGACTTCTATTTCAGGTCTCCTGGTAGACATAACCAGTGATTTCCACTACGTCTTCTACAACTCCAGCTTCTTCCTGATATCAGCTGCATTATTTATAGGGCTCAGCTTCTGTGCTCTGGAAAAAAAAAACAAATTGAGAGAGGCTTCCAAAGTACATTTGGACAATCCCTCCAGACATCAATACAGTGAAATGTCAACAGAACCAAAGGCTGTAAGTCAATCCCCTCCAGCAGTTCAGTACATCACGAGCATATGAAAATAAAGACAGGGGGAAAAGTGCAAAGCACTGTGGTCTGTACAAAGCAACACATGGCCCAACACTGATGGCAGATCAGAAAAGAACAGTCTGCTTTCCATTACTGTCATCTTCCTTTTGCACCTGCACTCCACAGGGCCTTGTCAGACTCCAAGACGGTGATCCACACCACGGGCCCAGCCCAGAGCCCAGCTCCAGCCAAGGAGACGAAGCACAAAGAGATCTGAGCTCTCCTAAAGCAAACTACGGGGTAACAGCCATGGGACCCAGCGCCAGGAGACAACAGCTGGGATAGTTCAGTTGGGTTAAGTCACAACCTTTAAGAAGTCACTGGAATTTCACAAGCACATTCCAGTTGGAAGTGCTGGATAACATATATTAATGGGTAGTTTTTCACAAAGAAATATTCTTGCCTCATCTGAATACGAAATTTTGGTGCACAGGCTTCCTATTTCCTTCCCATGTTGGGGGTGGCAAGTCAAACACTTTCCACAGAAGTGTGTTATTATTTTCCACATCTCTACATATTATACAAAAGCAGATGCCTGGGTTGTAGAACTCAGACAAATCTCTAGTAAGATCAACTACTTTCTCCTATGAAGCATACACAGGAGTTCTTCATGCCAAGGACAATTTCAAAGCCTCAAAATTCAACTCCAGAGCCTCGGAAAAAAACCCCAAAAAACAATCCACCATGCCTTGGAGTGCCTGCTTTGTATAACTACTGAGGTCTGAAGTGCAATTTAATATATCATAAAAGAGGATTCATGGCTCATGTAGACACACTTCAGCATTAACTGAAACCCATTTGGGGCAGGGAGGGTGATATCAGACCTAAGAAAAAGGATATGGATCCTTTTATAGGGCAAAATACAAAGCAACTGTAGTTCCTCTTTGTGGAGATCAGTTCAGCTCTTTAGTCTTAGACTTTTGAGCCTAATTACACCAGCATTCTCACTATAGAGAACTTTGTACAAACATAACTTATACTTCTTATAAGCACAAGCAGAACTTAAAAAGAAATCTGTGGGGAAAGCATACTGAGAAAAGCCAGTGTTGCTGACTTTCTATCCTTACAGCCTCGACTGTAAGTGGCTTTCTCTGCCACATTCCTGGGATTTAGGCTTGTCACTGCTCAGACAATGGCTGCAGCAGCCTCAGCATCAGCTCAAGATGCAAACTGTTCATATTCTGTGTCATCCCTGATCCGACAGATGCGGATAACAGCTCACGAAGCATGTGGATAAAGATAACCCAACACATCAGAACAATCAAAAAGATGGAAGCACAAAATGGGAGTGAAACGGAAGAAGTAACAGCTTTCAATGGAACTGCAGTGCCTGTCTAAGAACTGTTATATCAAACTCAGCTGCAGTGCTTATCTGGAGAACTGACCTATCACGTTCCTAGTGACAAACCCACAGCTTTCATCAGAGCTCCCCAGGCAAAACAAACAAAGCAATTTAAAAAAACCCACTCTGGATGAAACCACTGGAAAACTGACTCCAAGGTCTTCAGAGACCACAATGGCTTTGCAGGTGGCTTTTACACAGAAGGGGCATCAGCCCTTCAGAAGGGCTCCTGCTCCCACAGCTCAGTATCTTCTCCAATACTGTCCTGGGATTACAGACCCAGGAGGATTTGCATTTCCTGATCAAACCTATACTTAAATAAGCTGGTTAGGGGGAAATAGACATATCTGATCTCTCATCACATGTGTTTATTAACTTACGTAATGCTTACATGGTCCATTACTACGAAGTAAACAGGGACTGGTGCTTCTCAGCTTACCAAAAGAGACTTCTGTACATTCCTAGGAAAATGAAGAGGCTTTTCTCACAAAAAAGCAATAAAAAGGGATTAAGTCCCAAATTTCTTCTAGCCATTGCAAATAAACAGGCAAGCAGCTGAACAGGTTGCCATTTGCTTTGTGTGTAATTCTTAAATTTTAAATTCTGTTCACCTTTCTACATTCCCTTTCTGTTTTCTTACAGAAATTAGTTATATGGCCCCAGATCCTCCCACTGCTACAAATGTCCTGGGCAAAACAGGCAAGATATGGTGTAAGCTACAATCCACCAAAATTTCTCACAGAAAACAAAGGTTAGGTGAAGGAGCAATGGAAGGCACCTCCTGCATGGAGCCAATTGATCCACCTGTAATGCTTTTGCCTTGGTTGCTTCATACAAAAGGAAACGTACAGGGCAAACCCAAAAATTCTTCACTAACTGAAGCTGACACAGAGGTCAGCTCCTCCTACACCAAGGCAAAGATACCTGTTTTGATCATTTCTTGATTGTACAAGATAATTTAGGATGGAAGGAGAGTGCTTTTCAGAGGTGCTTTTTGATACTCCTAGACTTATCACTGGGGTCACTGGGATCCCAGGTGCACAGAGAGGTTTCTGGGAAGAAAAACAACAAGTACACAAACCTGTTATTTTAATATTTCTCAAGTTGCTGACTGAAACCTTTCAAATAGAACTCAAGCCTGAAAACAGGGTTGTCTCCCCTGGTTACTTTCCACAGACCCTTGAAAAGTAATCCACAACCCACAGGTTTGAAGCAAATCCTCAGCAGACTAGAAGGAACATTTTATGCCGTGTTTCCACAGGTAAATACGATGTCTTAGTTCCCATAACACAGAAAACAACTCCCCTCCTCTCCTTTCCACGAGTCTCCTCTCCCATGTGTGTTTCCAACCTGAACTCCAAGCTGCCTTGAGCAGGAGCTTGGCAAAGGATAACAGGAGAGACCTGAGCACGCCACAGAACAATAAATATTCCCCCTCAGAGGGATCCTACAGGTGCAGCAACACTCAGTCCTTAGGAATCTTGGGGACCAGAAGGAAAGGAAAGTGATAAAAGTTGCCCCATTAGTTTAAGGTCAGCCCTTCACACAAGGCAACCATACCCTCACTGAAGCATTTCTTTAACACCTGCAGATAGTAAAACAACCCTGGCTTTCATTTGGGACAAACACTAATAACTCAGCCAGGTTACAAATCTCTGAGAAATAGCAGAGCCACAGAAGTTGACCAGAATTAAATGTTCCCTGCTCACCCTGTCCCCTCTTGCCCCTCCCCTGCCCCCTTTATCATTGAAGATATTCTGACTATTGCAAGATAAGCATTTTGGCTAGAAGCACCTTTCCTCACTGAAATGAAACATTAACACTGAGAAATTCACACTGAAGTATTGCAAGATCATGATCCTTAAAAGCCTAAGATTCTCTGCCAGGGTAATACCTGGGAAAGTTTAATATTAATTATTTCTATTTAATAGCAATGAAGCCCAAATAAAGGTTACAGCAATCTTACACACTCTAAGATACCTCTGAAGTGCAAAATGACTTAATTTAAGAGCTTGGCTTGCTGTTTGCAGACATAGCTAGTAGCTATAAGAAAAGAAACAACTACTAGAAATTAAAATTTCCTGAATTCTGGCTTCGGTGTGCTATGGAAGTCACCAGAATAGTCCCTGGAGCTGTGACTACCCTGGCTAGACCAGCCCCTGCTCTGGGAACTGCTCTGGCAAACAGCAAGCGCTTGGAGCACTCAGACCATTAAACTATACAGCCAATATTGGGTGGGTAAATGCAGTTCTTACAAACACAAGTAATCACATTTTTCCTTTTTAAACACAGCTTCCCCCTCTTAGTCAATCCCAGCAGCGCTCTGTTTGTCTGGACTAGCTCCCTGTGTTTGCTTTCTCTGTTCCTGCTTTCCCACATTACTCATTCACCTCCTATTTAATGACAGATGAGGATTTAAAGTATAACAACACTCACCACTTACAAAGGCACACATTAGAAAAGACTTCTTACTACAGTAGCAAAACATTCTAATATTTGACACAGTTTGTAGCACCTTTGCTGATCATTTCCAGAGAGATATACTCAAATATGCAGAAAAAAATACATGTATATATTTAGACATTCACATAAATACATAACGACTTCAGTTGATAATCACGCTAAGAGCTGAAGTTGTTAGCACTTTGCCTGGCTTAAACTTTTATACCAGGTAGAAATAAATATCTTCCCTTTCATGTTTTGTGTCTTCCCACACCATTACAATGTTAAAATATTTAGCATTGCTGCATTCAGTGAAGCTTCTTTGCTCATCCTTCCATTTAATGTAGTCATGGGCAGGTATTTCAGTGCCCTCAGCTGTGTGGGTTATCAGCCCACTCTTGTCACTGGTGCCATGTGGATCAGTCCATGACTAATTTGCTTGATATGAAAATCAATTGTATTTGAGATAACACAAAAGACAACATATTCTCACGGCCTGTTCCTTGCCTTATCCACAGAAGAACAGCCATGCATGTAATTGCCTCAATAAAAGCAGTACAAATTTCTGCAGAGTCCACTCCCACAGTTTATGATCTTTATTAACCTTTACCTTATATATTTACAGAACATGCACCATAACTGAACCCTCTTGCCGCACGTAAAATTGTGGTGGTTTCACTGAGCTATGTTACTTCAGGACAAGGGAATTGCTCTGCTCTGTGCCCAAACCATTGTACAACCAAGATGGAATCACCTGCTGATCTTTTAATTGACTCCCTGGCCTTGTTTCATTTTTTTCCCCAGATAATCTCCCTCACTGTGCAAGTATTGTGCCCCGTTTTTACCTTTTCTCCCTCAGCTTCATGAATTGCAATCCCGTTATTTAAACTGGAACTGATCAGGAGCAGCACTACCACCAGGACAACAGCATTGTGATGGAACAGCAGAACATACACAGAGGCGAAAATTATTTGAGTAAGTAATCAGTGGGGAAAGGTTAGCTGCTTTGCAAAACCAAGCGTTTAAACAGCAAAGCTCTGCCATATAATGAGACAGTCAAATTCCTCGACATAGGCTCATTTATTTTTATATATAAAATACATAACTATACATAATGTGTTTATAAAGAGCGAGAGACACGGAGCAGCCACCACCTCCCCGCCTGAGAGGAGCACACCTACCCCCCGCCCACAAAATGGCGGCCGCTCCCGCGCCTCCTGAGGGGAGATGGCGCCGCCCTGTCCCGCCCACAAAATGGCGGCGGCCAGTTCGCCTCCATTGCTCGGTACTCCCGGTCCCTGAGCCGACGCTGCCGGGGGAACAGGCAGCCCGGCGCGGTGTCCCTCGATGGAACTGGGTCGGCTGGAGTACCTGCAGGCGCTCGTCACCGAGTTCCAGGTGACGGACAGCACAGGTAACAAACGCCGCCGCTCGCTCGCCCTCTCCGTGTCGAGCGTTTCCTCACACCCCCGACCTTTTCCCTTTTCCCTTGCAGAGGCCAAGGAGCAGGTGCTGGCGAACCTGGCCAACTTCGCCTACGATCCCAGCAACTACGAGTATCTCCGGCAGCTGCAGGTGCTGGACCTGTTCCTCGACATGCTTACGGAGGACAACGAGAGCCTGGTGGAGTTTGCCATGGGTAATCCTGCCGCGGGCACCCTCAGCTGTCACCTGGGCAGGGGACACCGGGCCTCGCTCGCTTTGGTCCTTAACCCGCCCCAAGTGCACACAGGGCTCCAAAAACTAACTCACGCTGTGCTGATAAAGCCTCCTTTAGTGCAGAATGGGAGAGAAGTCAGAGGCAGGCTTGTGTTCCATGTCCTTACAGAGCTTAATGAAGACGCTATCTGAAAAGGATTTAGAGGGTTTTTTTTCTTAAACACTGCCTGGTTATTTTTTTACTGAAATCTCTCCTGTAAAGAAGCAGTCATTAATATGTAGATTTTGCCAGGTACATTGTGCCAGATCCATGTAACCATTCTGCTATTGGCAACTGATCTTCTATAATACTTACTTGGCAATTTTAATAAATCTTTTAAGTGCCTTACCACGATTTTTCATGGTCTGAACGTAAGCTAAAGGGCCAGATGCTGTGAGTGGTTCTGTGAGGTGATACTAAATGGATTTGATTTTTAAGGTTTGTGGCTGCATTTCAAAGCTTCAACTTTCAAACATTCTGTGCTTTTTGGCTACTAACTCTGTTACCTCCATTCTCTGTCTTTCTATAGCACCTGCAGTAAACTGCTGGCTTGTGTCTTCCATTAGGGATGAGTGGGCATTCCTGGAACCCTTCTGTGGAAGCAGTTATGTGCAGCAGTAACAGTGCCCTCTAATGACACACAGGAGGAGTGTGCTGGTGGAAAATAATTGGAAACAATCAAAAACACGTGGCCTAGGGAATCGTTAGGAATTTTCCATCCATGCAGAAGATGTGGGTGTTAGAAACAGGATGAGCGGTGAACCTGCATCACCTCAGACACTTTCCTCTTGCCCTTCCAGGTGGTCTTTGCAACCTGTGCTTGGATAAAACAAACAAAGAGTACATCCTGGAGGCCAACGGGGTGGAGCCCATCATCAACTGCCTGTCCAGCTCCAACGAGGAGACCGTGGTGTCGGCTGTGACCACGCTGATGTTCCTGACGACTCCGCGGTCGCGCGCGCAGACCACGGCACTGCCCGTGGTGGAGTGCATGCTCCGCTTCTCGCTCTCGGCCAACACGCGCCTCAGTAACCTGGCATCCATCTTCCTGCAGGATTACTGCAGCCCTCCGCAGGTGGAGGAGGCCAGGAACCTCAGCAAGCACACGGCAGTGGGCATTCCTCTGCCCAAGGACTGAGCGGGGCTGTGGAGAGGGGAGCCTCCTGCTGTTGTCACTTTCTGCTCAGCAGGCCAAGAGCAGCAGTAGAGACGGGAGTTGGTCCCACCGCTGCCGGTGTTTAGTTAACAAACACGATGGACACGGCAGCTGGGCCAAGCACACCGCTAAGCCTGCAAATATTTAAAATAAAGCAGGTCATGGCTGCACATTGGAAAGTTCTTTGCCAAGTGCAGCTCGGCACCCAGCTTGCACAAGCAACCCTTCCCAGCAATGAGGGGTGTTCTGCTCAGGTTATTGGGCAGAATTGTATCCAGTCGGGTTCCTGGCTAGTTGTGCTACACCTCTCCCCTTCAGTGTGGGTGACAAGTGACACTAAGTGTCAGCTCAAGTCACTGAAATGTCACAGAAATGTATTCCTCCTGCAGAGAAAGGAGTTTCCCTGCCCTGGCAGTTCACAGTCTCCATCCCTGTGGCACTAGTTATGCCATCCTCTAATCATGGCCCAGGCAGCCAGCTCTGGAATCACTACATAGGGCAGGTTGTAGCTGCCCTGTAAATGAAGTGGTAAGTTTGTCTTTTATTACCACTGGTGAGAAAGGTGAAGTAATTAAAAAAAAAAAAAAAGGAGGGGGACTCATGGTAGTCTGGCTCATGAGAACAGCTGTCTTGTAAAAGCTTCTGTTAATAAAACATTAACTTAACTTAAATGCTGTGTAATCAGTTCTGTGTGAGAAGCACACGGGCCAAGAAATCGAAGTCAGCCTAGTCTCTCTTCATTATCAGCCATGAGGCAAGAGAAAACCCAATAACCAGGGTGGCTAAATGCATAAAATTTAAAAGGTTTTACTGTTGAGCCCAGTGCTTCCTGACAGACACCCACACTGGATCTGCTCATGTTTGAGAGCCTTCTTCCTCTTTTCCTCTCCCTCCTCTGCCCCCAGACAGCACAAACCAAACAGGAGTGATGATAAACACACATACAAATCCAACCACAGCTGCTTGTAGTTTATAGTTTCTCTTCTCCAACAGCAAACATCCAAAACACTACAGAGATTAACAGTGCAGAGCAATCTCCCAGAAACCCAGAGCACCGTGTCTGACAGGAGCAGCTCATGTCTTCCATGATCCCTGCAGTGACAGTGCCTCCTGGGCATGGCAGGGGTAGGCTGGTTGTTTCCTGGCAGCGGGAAGAGCGCAGCATCCCCTTCCTGGACTACTGCCTGCGCTTGCTGTCCAGGATGGCCTTCCAGTCGTCGGCCCAGGAGCGCAGGCGCCGGCGCGGGGCCGGCAGCTGGACGTGCCTGTTGTGGCAGCAGGTGAACAGGATGTGCTCCCAGCTCGGGTTCGGCTCCGCGCCTGTGGGAAAGGGGGAAAAGCTGGGATCAGCTGGGGGGTGGCTCCCCAGCCAGCAGCCAACCATGGAAGTGCTGTTCAAACCTTGGATGGTGTCCTTGTCATCAAACAGCAGGTCAGCAGCCACCACGGTCTTGTCTCGGGTCAGAATAATCCGCTCCACGAACTCGGGTCCCAAGTGTTTCTCTACCCACTTATACTGCAGAGACAAGGAACAGGAGAAAATCCTGCTGTGCTCTCAGTTTGCACATCACTCCTGTCAGACCAGCCCTAATAGAGCAATTTCTTCCCCCTGTAAACCTTATCTGTGTCTAGGAATCCCCACATGGAGACTGGCTGTGGCCCAGGGTGCTGATTAAACCTGTTTGTGTGACAGCCTTCACTCAGCACTGCCCTGGCTGTGCCCAACTGTTGAGTTTGTGAGAAGCACTGGCTGCTTGCCCAGAGCACGTGGGCTGTACCCATCTAAGTCATTCCAGTGATCAAAGTTCCCCCCTTCCATTCTTGTGCCACAGGCACAAAGGACTTATTCCAACACTACAGCCGCCTCAACCTCTTCTGGGACATCTCGGGCTCCAGATTTACACTGCAGTAGGTTTTGTTGGTTGGTGGTTCTCCAGAGTAGAATCCCCTTGGAATATCCCATCTCTCTGGGTCACACTACAACAGTTCCTTTGTTGTCACCTGCTGACACAGCTGGTCCCAGCCCAGCTCCAAGAGCCCAGGGCTCACGTGCTCCGCAGCAATTCTGGCAAAATGTGGCACTTGGAGATTCCCTGTCCTGAGTTACTGCTCTGTGTGTGAGAACCTGTCCCTCAGAGATTGAGGGAAGCCTGGCAGCTGGAGCAGCTACTGTCTCTAGAAAGGAGTTGCTCCAGCTTGGGTAGTATGAAACAGCAAGGCCTTGCAAAAGCAGCATTAAACCCAATAAAACCTATTCTCTCCCACCTTTTCCACGATGCAGTGCTCGTACTTCCGGAGAGGGCTGGTGCAAATGAAGACTTCAGTACTGAAAAGAAACAGCCTTTGTTAGCAGTCAGGGGAAATTGTGTTAGATCCTGGAGAAGGGCTGCAGGGTGCAAAGTGTCCTTACTCCTGCATGTGGAGCATCTCCTGCGCAGCTTCCAGGGCTCCTGGAATTGGATCCAAGTCTAGGAAGAAGCCAGGTGACTCATAGACACTGGCTACCTTGGCCTGCAGGAGAAAGAGGACGATGAGCAGCGGCTGTGCTCTGTCACAGCACTCTCCAGTCATCCCCTGTGTAACAGCCTGGTGCTTCCCCCCAGGAGTGGATTATAAAATATCTCACCTTTGGGTTCTGGAAAAGGTCCAGCTTGGGCACACAAGAAGGAGAAGTCACTTTCTGGTGGCTCATGAGGAGGCAGAGCTGCCCCTGGCCTGGCTTTGCTCCCACAACCAGCCCCAACCCACTGGAGTCTCTGGGGGGCTGAGGGAGGCAGAGCTCCCATCCCACCCCTTCCCAGCAGCTGTCTTTCCAGCTGGTGAAAACCAAAGCAACAAACTGGAGGCTTCTCCTCCTCTGTCACATTTGGCTGAGATTAGCTGAGGGCTCAGGAATTCACTGGGATGGGTGGGCAGACACAGGCACTGGCCATCAGCCTCCTGTTCCTTCAGAGCAAACAGGGTACAGAGGTGGCCGTGCCAATGGCCAGGCAGCACAGCCACACCTGGGGGGAATCCCTTCAGCAGGAGGGAAGGATGAAGGTGAGAGTGCTGGGAAAGCTCCATGTCTTTGTGGCTTTTCGATTTTCAACCACCCACTTCAAATTCTGTTGAAGGAGCAGGTGGCCTTGGCTCCAGCCTGGATAGAGCTGCTCCCCTGGGGTCATGAGTCTGCTCCAAAGAGTCTGAGACTTCAGCAGGAAGTTCAGAGGCGATCCCTGTGCTTCCCAAGAACTTCTGCCTGTGAGAGGTGGCCTGTGCAGCCCATGAGCTCCATCTGGGCTGGGTTTGAGGGTGCTGTGGGACACTGCCCCCCTCACCTGGCTCAGCACTGGGCCGAGCTCTGTGATTAAGGGCTTTGTCCCTTTTGTGTCTGCCCCTGCTCTCGATGCAAACCCGCCTTCCATACAGGCAGGTGGGATACCACAGGAACCAGAGAGGAAATCCATGATAAACAAGTGGTGAAGGAGGTTAGCTCAAAAGGTAGAATCATTTTTAAGTGAGTGTAAATAGGAAAGAAACAAGATTTCTGGAGGAGCAGTGTTATCCCAGGCTAATGTATCCAAAAATGGGACAAAAAGGTATTTAATATGATACAGTACAGTGGTATCTTTAATGTCTGAAAGGAAGAGCAGTATCTCCAGGGCAATTTCCAGGTAAGACTGTCCTTCCAGTCCTTTTTCTTCTTAATTTACAGGTAAGACATTTTCACGTCTTTTATTATTAGGAAATTTACTGGTTTGAATCCAGCTCTGGTTAGTTAATTTTAAGAATTGCTCCCTGGTTACTATTCAGTGGCCTGTGTTAAATGAGTGTTTCACAGCAGGTCACAGCTGATGGGCTCTCCCCTTCCTTATCCCACATCTCATCCTGGCAAAGGACCCACAGCAGCACCGAGGGCTGAGGCCCCTTCCAGGCCTAAGTTTCACCTTCAGACAGAGAGGTTAAGCTTCCAATATCTCTTTACCCTGAGACACACAAATCTTAACTTCCTTGGGGTCACATCGTGAACTTCAGAGGTGTCAAAGCAGCATTATTCCACAAGCATTAAAGTCATACATTCCCATGCCACTGAACAGTTTGGAAAACTAAATTCTTGTTTAGTATTCTTCAAAGGCAGGCTGCAGCCTTTGCTTAGAAGTGTCCAGCTCTTTAGACCCCAGCTGAAGGTCTCCTTGCTGTATCAGTGGAACATCAACAAAAACCCATTTCAATTAAGCAGCAGTGAGGAAGAATCAGCATTAAACCAGACTCCCAGATCCTGAAGCTCGCTCAGTTATCACCACCTACAAATACTCACAAATCAACAGCCGGGAAGTTGGAAGCACTGCCTGATTTCACACGCAGATCAGACGAGGTTAAGCAGCCTGTCTAGGTTCAGACATGGCAATCAGATCTGCCCAGATCTCTCTTTCCATGCAAAGCCTCCCTGATCCCAGCAACAATTCCCTGGAGCTCTTCCCAAGGAGACTGAATTACAGACTTAGGGCTCATGTCTGAAAGCTCTTTTATCTTTCAGCAAGACACCAGAAACTGGCAAGTTTCCACCACATCACAAAAAAGTCTGACTTTGCTGGAGAAAGAAATTTGATTTGATGACTCTTGGAACCAGAAGCCATTTCCTCTCATACAAAACTGACTAGAAAAAGAAAGTAAAACCATTTTCTTTCCTCGTGTTCATGCCACCAATGCTGAACGTTTCCTTTTAACTTCCGTTAGTAAGATAACAATTTGGATACAGAACTGGAGGGGCTACATCTGTCCCTATGCTTTCCCATTTGCAGGACTTCAAAATAATTAAAATTTTTTACCACTGGTGGGGATGTTGAATCCTTTTCTTGAAACTGCCTGGGGCCAGGAAACACAGAGATAAATCCCCACCAACAAAACGGCCACACACACGGGAGGGCAGGTAGGCAAGTGCAGTGAAAAATATCTTCAACAAAATAAAATAGATTAGAAGCCCTTCTAAATAAAATGGATTTACAATGTGAAATTAATGATCAACTTGCAATCAAAACAGAAACAAAACCAAAGCAATGGCTCAAGTTTCAAGGGGCAGCTGCTCAGCACCAGCTAAGCATGAACACCATCAGGAAGAGGTGATGCACAAACCATCATCACAGCACTTCCCAGGGCCTGCCACGAGAACATCTCACACCCTGAAATTCATAGACAGACACCTGATCTGCCACAAAGAGCCTGGTGTCCAGGTGAGTCCCTGGTGTCCAGCTGACCCCCTGGTGTCCAGCTGAGCCCCTGGTGTCCCACTGACCCCCTGGTGTCCAGCTGACCCTCTGGTGTCCAGCTGACCCCCTCCTTTCAGCACTGACAACCTGCAGGCTCCGTTTCCCTGCATGGACACACAAACTGCCCTGTGTGGGCTGCTGGCTCCTGCCAAAGCTTTCCCTGCAGCTGGAGCCAAGGAGAGACTTTCCACAGGGATTCTCCTGTCCCACAGACACTCTGTAGAGCCATAGCAGAACAAACAAGGACTCTGTTTTTAAACTAATGGATGGAATTTATGTAAAACCCAAAGGAGCCTCATATCTTTAAAACTATAACTTTATTGTTCTGCCAAAGATACCTAAACCAGCCCAAAGCTCCAGAGATTACTGAAGGAGACAGACACACAGCACAGCTCCACAAAGCTTATTTCCTTAGG